GGCAAGCAGCCGAGCAATGTACCGTCCCACGTCGCCGTTGCGAAACAAATTTGCTGGCTCTGCGAGTGCACCGACGCCGGGAACGAACTCTTCGAGCTGCCTGGAGCGGCGGAGGTGCAACGTTTACGAGCCACGACGCGAACAACCCCTAAACGCATCGTGGTCTTCGTACCGACTAAACAGCCTGCGTCGCGTGTACCATAAATAAAATTTAAACGCCGTTGCAGAACACAGACACAAGTTAGAAAGAAGTAACAATTGCGTTAAGTCGAATATCATTCTCTGATTAAAAGAACGATCCAATCAAAGAACGTTTCCAAAATCATCGATGTGCACGAAAGATCCATGGTTCGAAGTTGGAGGCGACGAAAATGACAACTGAACGCCGACCAATAATTTGTTCCGCGACCTAATTCCCGGGCGAACCTTTCGCGCGAAAGATTTAGTGCGATTTAATCCACCTGTTGGCGAAATAAATCTATCGTAAAGATTCGATCCCGCGCCTGTCCGGGCGATTCCAACTTTTTGAATTTCGTTCGCCGTGGAAAATCCAGGGGACGGTAAATCTTCGACTCCGACGTCCGCGACAGTTCAAGAAAGAACCCTCGTTTTTGTCCCCCCTGGATGAGAATTACTTTATCGCGTTGCGACGTCCTCTTTCCAACGGCGTCTAATCTCTTTCTATCCGTCGCGTTCTATACGTAGAGAACAAGGCGGTGTCGTCGGGGCCATTTTACCCATTATTACCGTTAAAGGAATTCGGGCTGATACGAACACGTATTTTCGTGATTTTATGCCTATCGTATGTCTGTATTGATCTACAGAGGCTCGCGAAAGTACTCGAACGATGTCATGTTTCTAATTAAAATGCACACATCCGAGTTAAGAAGACTTTACACAATTTCAATTAATGCAGCCTGTGCATTTATCACAGAAATCCCTGTTGGTACAATACAAAAGGAATCGAACGCTAAGTGTTGCAATTACAATCTTTATTAAACCATATTAATTTCGTGGAGGTTCGGGAGGCAGTAAAAAATTTGTAGAATTCGAATCGAAAAGTGGGTGGCGTCAAACGCGATCGATCGTGGGCGTTATTTGCATTCGTAAGTAGACGTGTTATAATTGCTCGTTATGTTAATGAATATCATACGTTGCTACGGTATTAAATTTTCTGCTCTACGGCTCGCGAGTGAATTAACGAGATCGTCCCGTTACATAGAATCGAGCAATTCCGATAACTCGGCGCTTTGTTTTCGATAAATTATACACAGGATCGCGCGTTTAATCGTCTATCGCGCACCACCCCCCTATACGACTAATTAAAACTAATAATAGGTATCGCGGGCGACGGTTTCGTTTCATCGCCTTGGCGCGTTACGCGTTGTCGACGCCACCCCCTGTTAAGGGATGCGAAACGGAAACCCATCCGAAACTCCCATCGATAATTTCGAACGGACGCGTCGAAGTTTTAATGGAATTAATGCGACTCCGAGGAACTCGGCCACCGATGCACCTATGCATCCGATGCAACGATGCACCGGACGGCTGCGTGCACGCTCGCGCCCCATCTATTATGCCGTTTTAATTAAACGAAGTCGTCCTGATGCGGTCGTCCTAATGTCAGGCGGCCACCGCTAACCATTTAGGACTCTTTAACTCATCCGCGTGCACCGCGATACGTTACCAAACGATCCTCAAAAAATTATTCGTCGCAGCTCTTGGAAACTTTTCGAAAAGCTTCCTCCGAAACGGAGTTTCACGTTTATCAAGTCGGGGTTGAAACGAGACCTGATGAGCGAAAACAGTCGTATCGTTGATTTTGATATAATCTAATCGCCGAGGATCTATCTAAACCAAGTTTATTTCTCGTCGACTTGCCCGGGAAGCGGACTTCTCGAAGCAGAAAAGAGAAAAGAATTAGCAAGTTAAAACGTATCTTTGCAGAATATCGTACGAGCTTCTTCGATAAACGTCCTGGATGGTCCAAGCGAAATTAAGCAGGGAATAAATTGAGATTCCGCGGTCGTGGGCGCGGCGAGGGCCGCGGAATTGAAAAACTTCATGAATTCTTAAAAGTCCGGCGTGCAAATAAAAGGATTTATTCACCTCGTGGGAAACGTTTACCTCGAGCATGTCGGATTTAACAGGCATACGCGGCGACGGGGGTGGCAGGTTCGCTGAAAATAACACGAATACCTCGCGGCGTTCTACGAGCGTCGTTTCCCATGACGATAACGATAATACCGTGCTTGCCGCGCTACAAAGTATAACCTAATTATCTGTCCGACACGGTGGTTCCTCGTTGCTCCGCGTTGCGCCTCTCTAATATGCAATTGCATTCACAACGGTTGTCGGTCCGCTCGCATCTTCATTATAGAGGCGAATACGCGTACCGTTCGCTTACACTCCGCCTGGCGGTTCGCTGCGGTCGTCTATTCGTCTCTGGCCCCTGGAATACTTCTCCACCGTCGACCAGAACCATCCCCCTTGCCCGTTATACCGATATTTATCACCCAACGTAACGAGTTCCAACGAAAGAAAATTCTCTTCCGAGTCGTGCAATAGTCCCTCGTTTAATGACGAGAAATCGGGTCCGCCTTGGAACCGAATTTCTGAGACACGGTCGTTCCGGGGGGTGAAATAATATCGCTCTTTTGTTTCCTGCGATGTTGTTCGAAGGAATCGAAATACCTTCCTTATTGGAAATAATGGTTATTTGGAACAATGAAGCTGTTTCCTTTCATTATTTGAATGGAACTTCGAAACGACCGAGAGTTGAAATATTGAAACTACTTCACTATTTTATGCGGTGTTTCGAACGCTGATTTAAAAATGGAGCGAACGATCGGAATCGAGCACAATGAGTTACGATTGTAACGCTTTTCACAATTGGCTATGTGTGGTTGTGAGACATTGCAATTAGAAAATGATTCATGTAGTGAACAAACTTTTAGTTTGCATTTACGGGGTGTCAATTAAATCCTTCGAAGCTCTTCAAGACTAAATACCCTATCGACTCCAAGCAAATTTCATTTTAATGAATCATCCCCCTAACTCGTGCCACTTTCTTCGTTTATTTTGAAATTTCCTTCGAAGCTGAGGGTCCTATGCTCCAGTCGGGGGTAAAATTCGATCCTCGAGCGAGGGAATAGCGAACGACGAATGCTCGAAACGTCGATGGCCGCGCTTTAACGCGCCGGTCAAATCTGTAAAGCGATTAGCGGGGAAATGTCGTTAATGCTGATTAAATTTTTCCCCGGTAATTGATTGCCGGGCGCCGGCAACTAATTCAACGAAAATAGAATATCTGTCGACGGGTATCGACGGTCACGATTATCGCGACGTTGATGAAATTTCGCCGGACGGGAACGAAACGTTCCCCGTCGGTGGCGTCGAATGCAAAGTAGGATTGATCCGAAGCATTCGTCCGTCGGTTGTTATTTTTTAACGCGTACGGTATCGCGGCCTAACGCGACGCAACGACGCCGCGGAACGTCGCATTTACATATAAATCAACAACCAGCGTATAATATCGGCCGCGCGACTGCTCGATATAAATTGTAGCTCGTCTACGTGTGGCCAATTAATTCGTATGGGGGGGCCTGTGTTTGCGCGCATTATAATTTGTAAATTTTCTGCCCCGCCATGGGGAGTACTGACGCGCAATTCCATTTCTAATTATTGCGCGTAATATTTATGCAGAATTACGCGTAAATAATGAATAAACAGGATGGAATCGAACGTTACATCGTGACGCGAGCACTGTGTCGGGGGTTTCGAAGATACGGACACCGAGATTTAAATCAATTTTATTCACTTTCATCGAAGAATTATGTTTTAGCGAGAATCGCTGGGAAAAATGCAGGCTTTTGCACTTTTCGGTGGGACTTCTTCGAGTTCGAAGGGGTTAAAGTCCTGTACGAACGGTTTATTTGCGATTTCGGTGCGCAAATAATCGAAGCAATCGCACACAGCGAGAGACACATTGGTCGAATCGCCTCGCAGTTGTTCTGGATCTTCTTCGGCCGGTTCGCGTATACAAAGCTGTCGAGATCCGATTAAAAGGCCGAGGGTTTATCGGAGGCGTCGAAGCACCGCACCAAACAATACGGTTTGTTTAAACCAACGCACCCTGTCGATCCCCGTTCGCCGGAAGCATCGCGTAAATTTATGGATATCGGATGTTGTCGATTCCCCTTGCTCGTTATTTATACCGGCTAAATCTCGCGTTGGAGTTGAATCTGAACGGCCGCGGGCAAGAGTCACCGTATTTCCCTCCCCGCACGCTGGCCCGCCTACGCTATCGAAGTATCGCGCTGCGTTTCGCGAGCGATAACAAACCGCGTCGACGATCCAAAAATACGATGTTTTTTTTCGTTTTTTTATTTTTACAAAAATTCGGTCACGATAACGACCGTGTTTGCGGCGGGGACGATGTTAAGTGAAAATTTATTTGGCCGTTCGGGCCCGCCAATAACACGATTCCTACACTATTTACATAATTAGATAAGCGTTTTCGGTTTCTCGAGAATCTTACGATATCGGTCCCCGGGGCGTCGTGCTCTTCGAGAACGCGATTGGAAAGCACGGTTACGACGCCAGGGATCGATTCTTACGTTTACTGGGTCGGCGACTGTAAAAATATCTGTACATTTCGTCCGTTTACGAATATCGTTACATCTATGGGAATCGACGAGCCTCGGTTATAATACTTTTGCCCCGTTGCTCGCCCCTGGTAAGAATGGCGTGTAAATTACTAGCGCAAAAGTGGTCCGTGGCGCAATAAATAAACGCTGTAAAGCTCCGCCGTCTGATCGACGCTTCAAAAGACACTTTCACGAATACGATCGCGAAGCACAGGTACAGGAATTGTGGAAAGAGTGTTCGATCACCGGATCAGACGCATAATGCACTTGCTACTTCCTACATCTTATCGAACTACGCCTTACGTCTACGAGAATAGGCACTTTCGCCCCGGTATATCTACATACAGGACGTCGAGGAAAGCGTATTACATATAATACACGAGGACGAGTATATCGGTTAACCCTAACTGTACAAAACTAGTCGTGCAGGTCGATCTCCACTCTCTGCAGAAGATCCGGTTCTGAAAGAAAACGAATCGACCCTCGTATCATTCGAAATAAATATTTTCAGCGTTGCTTTAAGGGGGTGATCGAAGCTCGAAATCCTCAAGGAACATTTTATTGTACGCTGTACAAAAGCGAACTGTAAATTTGTAATTCTTCCGTGTATCCATTTCCTAAGAGCGAAAGGATAAAGGTCGTTCGTAGACTCGACTACCACCCTAAAACGCGCACTCGAATATTCTATCGAAGAGTGCTTTACCGTTTCGATTTTCCTCGACGTACAGGCTCGTTCTTTGAGACCGTCTGCTATCGCCGGAGTATCTGATCCTGGGCTCGATCCTTTGAGCGGAAACGTAGCTGGGGATGGTAAAATCGTCCGGTCCGTCTTTGACCGGGGAGCTGGTCCTTCTTCTGCAGACCGCCAGTCCGATGATCACTCCGATGCCGATCAGGATCAAGGCCACCGCACCTTCGATCCAAAAAGAGTTTTTCTTACTCGTGACCACGCGTGAAAAACTTTCTACCCGTTACGAGTACTCTTGACATTATCTCTCGACATGCTTTCAATTTTAGAAAGCGTCAGAAGTAAAAGATGAATATATTTCTAATCATTAACGATCGTGGTACGTTGGAAATATTGGTCGTCGTCTGGTTACCGAAGTACACCACGTATTGTTGATTTTTAGATTGATTAAATTACTTGTATCTCTCCGTAGGGTTTGATAATTGAGTATTACTTGCCCGTTGATATTAAAAGATAAAGAAAAGCTACTAAATACTAACACCAGCGTAATAGACAACAACGGGGCTCTTACGATCACTGACGTTAAGCACTGTTGACCTGTGACCGCTTAGAAAAAACAATTGATCACTACCTGTACCTGTCAGGGCAATGACGATGATCAGATTCTCCGAGCTGGCCGTCGGGAGGGCCTTCTTCAGGTCCTCCAGGAAGACGCCTGTCCTCTCCAGCTTGCCACCGATGGGTTCAACGACCCTGACGTGCTCCAATAGCGCAGGCTCGCTCTTGCCCTGGCCGTTCACGGCGTACACGTATAAAGTGTAGTCGAAACCGGGGTCAAGGTCGTGCAGCTGGAAGTTGGGCCTGACGTTCTTCTCCTGATAGACGGCTGGCACCTCCCCCACCGTTCCCTGATCGCTCTGCGGCGCGTGGAGCGTGGGCGAGTTCACCTGGATGGCTCCCGGTTGCCTCGGGATGCCCCGAACTTCCAGTAAAAAGTACTGCGGCGAACCACCGTCCGCGCCGGGTATACAATTCACTTCCAACGAGCTGGTCTCGTTCTGCAAGGAACAGTCGAACGGCGGCTGCGGTGGCTCTGCGAGAATCGCAACGTTTGTTCGGTTAGAAACGTATCCCCGAGTGTTTCATTGCTTCGAGCACAGATTCGGCTTTTAAAGTCGATAAATTAGGAAACGAACCAAGTGCTAACCCTTTGCACTCGAAAACTGTTATATAACTACTTCAAAACAATAATATCGTTGTTTAGCTATGATGGATGTCCTATCAGAGGGGACAGCCGAGTGCAAAGGGTTAATTTCAAGGTGTAAATGTTCCGAATCCGCCCTTAAAGCGTTACGAAGCATCCAGGAAAGCGCACGAGTATCGGATTACGGGCACACGCGCGCATCCGTCTCGAATTCTTTCATGGAATTCGTTCCAGTTGTCGGTTTCGAAGGGCACGTACTCCCCGGCACGACGTTGAATATACAGGGCGCCCTTTGTCTGCCGACGCTGTTGCTTGCCCAGCAGGCGAGTGTCCCGAAGTCGGTGTCGACGGTTGGAGTGTAATCCAGAACGCTAACGAGCCCGTTATTCTGAGCCCTGGAGTTCTGCACCGGCAACACGTCGCCTCGCGTCCCGTTGTACGTCCAAAAGAACCTCACCGCGTCCTCCGGGACCGCGTCGACCTCGCATCGCAACGACACCGTTTCGCGACGGGCGGCGGTGATCTCGCGTCGCTCGTGACCCGCCCGACATCTTGGCGCATCTTTCGAGACAATCACGGAAACTCTTACTAACGAACGGTTACACGGGAACGTGAACACTTACATTTCATGTGAACGAACAGCGGCGCGCCACGACCCTCGCCGACGGGATTGATCGCCGCGCACGAGTACTCGCCGGCGTGCGCCAGGGTGAGCACCCTCAGGGTCAGGGTGTTCGAGGCGATCAGAGTGCCACCGGCCACGTCGTGCTCCAACCTGTCGTCCTGGAACGTCCTTTCGTAGTCTCGATTCTAATTAGAACGGTCGAAAATACTCACGTCGTGGTACCAGATGATCCTGGTCGGGGATGGATTGCTGTGCACGTCGCAGATCAATTTCACGTCGTCACCCTCTCTGATCATGTCCAGTATGTACCCTGTCGCTAGATGCACGCCTACAGTTGGAGCATCTGCGAAACCGGAAAAGCTTATTCGCTGTTACGATTTTCCTGGCGTTTCGAGGAAGGTAGACTCACAGGCGACGTTCAGGACTTTAGTGTGCTCGAGGACCCCGCCGGGAAATCGGGGATTTTCGGCTCTGCAAATTAATTCCTTGCCGTCGTCGTCCTTGCCCAACGCCAGAGCCAGCTTGCTCACCGTGGAGTTGCTCCTCTGCGTGGTGGACACGTTAGGCTCGCCTATCGTCTGCCCGTTCAGGCTCCAAATGATCCTCGCGGCTGGCGAGCTTCCCCACGTCTCGCAACGAGCCGCGATCGGACGACCCGCGTAGATCTGGTCCTCGTTCATCACGATCTTCACTATCGCTGGCTTCACTGAGAAAAATAGACGGTCATCGTGTTTGTTAGACCTTTTTTAAGGACATTGTACCACTAGGAACCGCATGAATACATCATAAATGTTTGTACATCGCGGATGTATAGGGCGATTCTTCGGTCCGGAGACTCTACAAGAATGTCACTGCCTATCAAACGATCCTCTTGTAAGGAATTTTTTCGTTCGACGTGTTTTTTTTGTGCCTCGTAGCTGTTGGACCGATTCCCCTAGGACTCGCAGGCGCGTAAAAAATTTGGCCAGAAGGACGTGTCCCGTTGGTTGGCCCGCCACGGCGAAAATAACGGGTCGAGGGAGCCACGTGTTCGCCACCCGAACCGCGTATTTTTACTTTCGACGCCGATTCCACGAAATGCGACCGTCAAAGGAGTTAAGAAGGTCCGCGCGAAATCGCTGGAATTCATCGCGCTTCCGCTGCGGGTCACTCGCTTCGACTATATTTAAATTTCTTTCTTCTGCTGCGTCGTCGTGGCTGCAGGACACTCGCGCGAATATGAGCAATAGGGCGAAACGCGAGGCACGCGGACAATAGGGTGGCCCTTCGGGTATGGGGGTCGACGTTTAAACGCCACGATTTATATTTAGACACGTTTCAACGCAGAAACATTTCTGTGCGTGAAACAAACATGTATATTGCAAAATAAAATACAGTCCTCGATCGTTCGGGTCGGGTAATATCAACTGAAATACGATTCAACGAACGCGTACTGCGTGCTCCGATATTTTTCCCCGGTTTAAAAATTCTCTGAACCACGTCTTATGTGGGTCGAATAGATAAGTCAATGGATGGGTAGTCGTTAAAGCATACCTATGTATGTGTTTTCGTTACAGATTATAGTACGTAACCGACCTAAACCAACTGACCGTTGTTCATGGGATTAGGAGGACACGGTAGGTGCAGATAGAACACCCAGCCAGGACAAAATGCCTGCGGAATAGTGGTGCAAAATTATTTAGACAAACACAGGAATCTCAAATCAATTTAAATTTAAAAGTCCTGATAATACTACTTTTAAAAATTCATTGATCGAGGTCTGATCGTTTAAAAAAATAAACGGTTCTCCGTTCTTTGCCTTTCGTCTCACATTCGCACTTTCTATCAGGAAATAGGAGGAAGCCTCGTGTTTCGAGTGTCAAAGGATCCTCGAATCTCGTTGCGTATCAATCTACGGGGTTGACGAGTCGCGATAAACGCGAATGGTTCGCGTAAGATCGTGTTTTTCCCGCGGAAGGTATCGACGGAACGGAAATAAAACGAGATCCGCAGCACGTGCGCGCCGAAACTACGTTCGCGATCGTTTTTAGAGCGCGTTAGATTCAAAGAAGCGACCTTGAAGAGCGTGCGCGCCTTCGTTCTGTTTTATTCCCAGCAGATGTTACGCTCGCGGTCGGCTTTTTTTCAAACATTGCATCGGCTTCCTTCGTTCCTGAAGGCGCTTGGGGAACGTTAACGAGCTACTTGGAATACCGGTACGAGTACTGTGCGTGCACGAGAAGTTCATTGCAAGAAAGGGGAATACAATCGAAACAGAAGAAAATTTAGAGATGGATTGATACAGAATTGATTTAAAAAATAAATCCAATCTCGTACTCGTTGAGGGTGATCGATAAAAGTGAATTTCGAGGCTAAGATACTCACGATAAATGTCCAGGGGAACTTCTCGAACGATCGGTGCGGCCATAGGTGTGGATTGGGCTCTGCACTCGAGCTTGGTGCCCCACAACGACCTGGTCACCTTGTCGATGAAGAGGTGGTTCACCGTGAATTTGCTGGGCGAACCGATGGAGACGGTGTCGACGACGCTGTCCAGGATCTCGCCGTCCTTCCACCACGTTACGGACGGTCTCGGTCTTCCTGCATCGTTCAAAGGAGCTATTAACGCGAGTTTCGCGGTAAGCAAGCCAGGAAATCGAACTCTGAAACGTTAATCGCTCAGCAGGAAAGGAGGATCAATTTACCCCCAGACACCTGGCAGGTCAAGGCGAGGTTGTAGCCCTCGAGGAACGGTCCACCCACCCCCGTCACTTCTCGCCCTTGGGCATCGTATATCACAGGCTTCGTCGGCTCCTCTGGAGAAAAAGGAACTCGTCAAAGACTTCGACAACGGAGAAACCTTAACTCGATACACACCGACCAGCGTAAGATTCACTCGAAAGTTCCGCGTCGGAGAGTCGATGAAGTCTACCCTACACCTGAAGATTCCCTGATCCTTGAACGTGACCTTGGTCACTTTCAACTTGGCCCGGTGGCCGTCACCGATCTGGAAGTACGTCCTCCTGCCGAGATCGTCGCTGATCGCCCAGTGAATGGCGGTAGAGAGATCTCCGCTCCTCGCGTCTAGGCTGAAAACACAGGTAAACGAACTTCGGTCGCTCTCTCGTCTATCAGCAATCCTTGGACAATTAAATCTAACTTATCTATAGGTCTGGGTTAGATGTGGGAATTCATGTCGGGTTAGACGTTGATCAGAATAGTCTTCTAGATTTTTGATTATTTGAAAGGGGCGTATTTTGTATTTTTGTAGTCGTCCCTTGGGGGTTCTGTCACCTGTTGCTGATAACCCTGTATACTAAAACCATGGCGACTATAAGCTCAAAGCAGTGTATATCAGTCGGGGTAGTTAAGAAATATTTTTTTGGACATCTAAGAACAGGGTTTGCTCACCCTCGATGGTTCGTTGATTTTTTTAGCAGACAAAAAAAAGGGAACTCATTCTGACGAAAATAGTGTGCTTTTCTACGACCAACGTCACGTGATCAGATTTATAGTACGTGTTTCTTTTTAAACTTCTTGGAAGTAGCGAACGCGACCCGTAGTCTTTTTAATCGAAAGGATCTCAAGATCAGAGTATCGAGGTGACCGGGTTAGGGTTTCCTGTCGATCCGCGCGTCGGAATTTCTTGGCTCGATCGACGAGTCAACGATCGAACGACGCGGGGATAAGTTGACGTTTCCGGGGGTGGAAAAAGAAGCTGGTAAACACCGCGCGGACCGGCAGTTGGCCAGTTTCGGTGACTAACTCTAGCGCGCGCGGTCTATTCGCGGCGCGAAAAAGTATAGTTGGCAAGCGCGCAGTCAGCGAATTTAGATTCCCCCGCGAACGGTTGACCGTTACGCAACGTTGAGGAGGAAATCGCCCGGAGGGGGAGGGCCGGGAACGCGCGGGAAAAGAACCAATTCGCAGTCGATTTCCTTTGGTACCCGTGGCGCCGGTTACAAACGCCCCGGTTTATGTTGTTCCAGCGTCGCGGCTGGTCCCACGCCTCGGATTTCCATGCTTTTTTCACGTCCAGCGGGTTTTATGGAAACGCTTTCGGTGCAAACAACCAGGACCAGCAAAGACTTCGAAAGCCGCCTGCATCGGGCTCGTCTCGCGTGTCGGTCGTTTCCTCGGGTTGTATTTTTTTACGATCGTCCTTTGACGCGAGGCAGGCCCACGATGCTGGCCCACGTGGTGGAAAATATTTTTTTCACGAACGTGGATGCTCGGTTTACCCGGCCGAGTTTGCCCCTCTTCGTAAATAAACGCTGCGCGATGTTCGCGCGGATTTGTCAGCACGAAACGACGTTCGATCGGTCGCTTTATTTGTGGAGGAACTTCGCCCCGGAATTTCTTAATACCGGGGCGAAGCCAAACCGCCGGTTCGCGGAGGCTCTTGTTTATTTACGTTGTCCCGATCTACCTCAATTTATCTTTCGTTTATGCGATCGAGGCGCGGATGATTCGTCAGGAATTTATATTCGACGCTCTCTCGGTGTTCGAACTCTGGCAACGATGGCTGTCTTCGGTGCACGACGTCGACCCCGTGGGCGCACAATAGACGAAAGTGCAGCGCCCGGTGCAACCGTAAAAAGAGAGTTCCGGGGCTCGAGATATTTCGAGTCCCGATCTCTCAGAACAATGGCATCCGCGAATATTAAGCGTGGCCGAGATCCGGCGGTTCGCGTCGCGGCGGACGTTCATTTTTCCCCGCAAAACGGTTCCCGTGAACCGCGAAACTGGTAAGCCCCCAGAAGGTACGGTGTTTCGCGAAACGGTGCCGAAAAAAATCGGGCAACGAAAACGACTGCGGTTTTTCGGCGGCGGTCGCGGTCGCTTGCGGCTAACTGTTGCTCTTCAGCAATCGCGGAAATAGGATCGCGGGGGTTTTCGCGCGGAAAACGGTAGCGAAAAAGAATATTTACAAATTCTGTTTCCATCGTGGATGCTCTAAGCACGGATCGAGAGGGGCGAAAGCGGAGCAACCGCTGGGAAATATTATTTTAAAGTCGTAATAATTTTTTCGTCGACGAAATAGGAGGAATATTCCTGGACGAGAAGAGTCTCTTTATATTCTGGCTTTGTGGATAATTTAACCCTCGAGTGGAATCCCAACTGAATTATTTTATTTAATGTTGATTTTTTAAAGCATTTAAAGAATAATAAACTAATGGAGGATTAGATAAATTTTCGAGTAATTACATTCAGATATATTATACGGTATTAGTATAAACTTGTAGAGGACCGCAGCTGCTCCAATAATCTATTCATGGGTTAACTAATACTGTGGTTTAGAAGTTAGTTGAAATAACGATATTCACATGAAATGGGATACTTTTTGGGAGGTTGATTTCAGTTATGATTATTGAAATAAATATCCCAAGAGTACTGAAAATTTGCAAGCTGATAATACGTTTAATTCTGGAAATTCTTCGAGACTGAAACGTATCTCGAAAGAATGCCCAGTTTCGCCGTATAATGATCCAAGGGAGAGAAAAGGTTACCTGTAGAGGGGTATTCCAACAGAGTCCTTGAACCAGAGCACCATGTTGACGGAGTCGGTCGGTGTCGGGGGTGTGATGTCGCATGGCAATTCGACGTCTTCACCCTCGTTAGCCCACACCAACCTCAACGGCGCTGTAAGAGTGTAAATCGTAGGACCTTAAAGAAATGTACACAAAAGCACGTGTTTTTTTAGCAACTCTTGGGCAGTCTGATTAAAAATTACGATTACCACGATACATTACTCGTAATTATTAGTTCTCGAAACTCTGTTTCACATTCGTTTGGATTACAGTATATAATATAAAGTAAATGATACTTTTGCACTCGTCGTCTCGAGTTTTCTTACTAGCCTGCATTTTCGTGCTTTTTAAAAGAACCAAAGAGATTCGCGTAGGCGACGAAAGGTCCCTCCAGCGAGTTTCTTCGGGCACTCGGTCCCTCGTTAAGGGTGACACGACAGATTGGAGAAAGCGGTGCTAATGAAGCGATTCCCTGACACTGGGGCTGTCGTCGCGACGAACTCAAACCGTGCATAATACACGTGCAACCGTCCTCCACTCCCCCCATTGTGGTCGTTACGATTCCAGCACGGCCTGTCGGGCTGTTCCGAGCAGCGTTTCGATTCCGAACACCCGGATGATTCGATCGTTTCGCGATACAGAAACGCGAGACCCGCCCGCGTAACGGATGCCAAGAGAGAATGAGCGAGTTATCAATGGCATACCGTCGTGTGCATTAACACCGGTTTCTCACGCACGTGTGCGGTCGCGCTATATCGTTTCTATTTTCTCCGCGTGCAGAATCTTCGTAACATCGCGACGATTCTAAGTTTAAGTCGCGCGCGATGATGCATCGTCCCGATACCAGCGAATTTCGAAGTCCGCGCGATGCTAGAACCCCTCTTCTCAAACTTTGAAATCGGTATATTCTCGGTGCTCTTTTATCCAACTAACGCTAGGCGAATTCAAAGTTTTCTTTGGATACTTCGAACTCCATCTTATTATTCGGGGAATTTTTAAATTGGACTTTTCGAAGCGAAATTTAGGTAATCATTAATCTCTGTATATAACCACTCTATGTCGAACTCTCGTTTGCTGAGCTCGACACACTCGAGAGAACTTCGATGGGACGAAATTTCTGTAACTCGATGATTTCAGCTGGTCCCTGTGGATTCTAGTTACCGGGATTCGAAATTGAAAGCTGAATGATTCATCTTTTATATCGTTAAATGTAACCTTCCGTGCTTTACAAGCTTCGAGGAGAGTTGTTAGGGATAGAAACGTTCAACCAACGAATCACATCTGAGTCTCTTTTCAAATATCATCTTTCATGCTTCATCGTCCGCAAAGAGGATTTTTCCTGTCGCCGGGGATAGAAACGTTCGACTAACGAATCGCCCCGTTCATTTAGGGAATCATCGTTGCAGCCGGGGCGTTGGAGAGATTGAAATCGACGCGATAAGCGTCGGGTCGTGTTCGCGTGTCCCATTCCGTCGTTTCGCGTTTTCGATTTTCCATGCCGCGCAGCTTTTTCGTGTTCGCGTAGCGTAACGCGCCGCTGAAAGGCGAACGACCGAGGCCAGTTTGTCTTCTCGACAGAGCGTTTCATCGCCGCGATGCGTGGCCACGCGCTCCGATCGGTGAAATACACGCTCCCGGGGCCCGCCATTGCGTAATCTCCCGTGAATTATCTTTTTTGGGGGCTCGACCGGGGCCAGAGATGGACAAAACCTCGCTCGAACAAAAATATCGCGTCGCGATTTATTCCCCGGGCTTAATCGATCACACAGCTATCCAAACAGGCGTCCGTTCGACGTGAAATATAATTTCACTGCGCCGTTCGGATTATAATTTCACTCGTTATTTTATTCCATCGTCTCTGAACGCAACTCGAGGGATCAGTGGCTGTTGCGTTGTCCGACGAGTTCGTGCTGTTTTTATTCTACACAATATTTTTATAACGTACCTAGATCTTCGCGATGAAACAATTGTTTTATACCAAACATCCGTCCCTCGCCTCTTCCCCGACTTTTATCGAACAGACGTGGAAGTCTTCGATCATAATAAATCTTTCGCGTCGCGCCAAAAGTTCAAACGACGGTATTCGCGTTTGGCTCGGGAAATAAGGTTACTTAATTACGATCTCGGGCGCATCGAGTGCGGCGTAACCCTAATTTTGGCCCCGATGGGCGTAAACGGGCGACTGGTTGTCCAAACAATCGCCTCTCCGGGACGCGTGGCGTCGCGTACCAAAATAGAATTCCGATATCCGTAGGAAATAGGTAAAGATTCGTAGAAAGAATCTGTACGTCCGAGTGTACCGTTATGTAAATAATGCTCGAGGGGCAACCGTTGTTATTTTTGTATCGCGCGCGTTAGGAAACCGCGCTTCCGCCGGAGTCGTCTATTTTCGTGTCCCCCGTCGTCCACGACTTTTCCCGTCCTGTTCCTCGCCCCGATACGGCATCTTTCGCGAATCGAATCCGCGGCCGTTTAAAAATTGCCCATTAAAATAATTTACGAGCCACGAACACGAGCCACCGCAACAACGTGAAAATAAGAACGAACCGCGCCGCCGCGGCGTCGCTCGCACAATATGGAATTAATTTGCGTGTTTTTATCGGCGCCTATCTGCATATTTCAGACGTTGGATAACACCTCGCGCAATTTCCTGCCCTTTGTTTCGCGTCTCGAAGGCATTCCCCCATTGTACAGCCACGTAACAGATCGATGACATTCCTTCGACGGTTTCACGTTTTCGCGACGCTTCGAATTTTTATTCTACCACGGGAAACATTCCGCGATTCAACGCCTGTCTTCGTTTTCACCAGCAACGAAGCTCCCTGTCTTTCACTCGTCGAAACTGCTGTCTGCGATCCGGAACTTTAAATATTAAATTAAAATGCGCCAAGCAAAAATTCTTATTCGCGTATGTAAAAATTATGTTCGTAATTTCTATCGAAAGTTGCATTTCCTCGACTATTTGTCGTTCGAATCCCCTCTGTGCAAATAAATGCACCGTCGTAGGTTGACTGTCGCGACTCGTCCGTTTCTTCTTGGCGGATACCTGGGACGTATTACGTTTTATTAAATTCATGTTAGCCTCTCGCGTTATCTCTTTCGAATCTACCACCCCCTCACGGCCGCGCTTTAGTAAATTCCGTTCCCGAGTAATTCTACTTCCTCGTGCCAACACCTGTTGCTGCCCTACCGAGAAGAAGTTCGGTTTTCCAATAAAATTCCAACTGTCACCACCTACGTTCTCCGGTTCGATGGTTGTTCCCGGTCGTTTTGGAAGCGAGCGTCTCCGTTGTTCCCGGGCTTATTGAAAATCCAAAGGATGACTGCGAGCGCGATTAAACGGTCCTGGGAGACGGGGAATCCAAGGGGGGGGGGCGGGATTCCTCTTGGTGGCCAGGGTCGATTGGGACCGTGAAATATGAACGACGAACGTGGTTTCGAGCTCGGTTCGGCTTGTAAAAAATTACGCTGGAGGAGGGTCCGGCTCCGGAAGACGTTCGGGGGCCGCGTCGTAGGTCCTTCGACGGTGGAATCGGTTCGATATTTCATCCGAGGACTTGTAATTATTTAGAACGACTCCTCCCATTATTCCCCGGGGCCGATTTGTAGCCGCGAGGACGCGAGATTAAAGTTCACCGTCGGAACGTCCCCGGGTTTTCCGGTACCTGTCCACAGGGCACAGCGTGACGAGTATATGGGAGCTTGGGACACAATTAATCACTCCTAAACCATTCAATTTTCGACCAAAATCCTCTACTATTAAAGATACATCGATTTATGGAGAAAAAATTAAGCCAATCTTAATTTCTTATCGAAGATAGATTTTTACCAATTTTCTCGTTTACCATTTGTTGTCATACGATCACCGAGTAATTTTTATTGGAAAATTCTTTTTGTCCATTGATCGAGAATGGTTGAAAAAATTGAATGTAGGATCAAAGGATAAAAAATGTTTTAAATCAATTTCAAGCATAATTTTTTTACGAGCAATTGAAAAATTCACTAAAAATTGTGAGTAGTAGTTATGAATTATAGACTTCAGTTTTTTTTATTTTTGTCCATTGCTCGTCACACTGTACAGCGGCGGACCGCCGACGCCCCCACCAAGGGTTGTTCTCGAGATAAAGGTATCCCGTTTGATCACTTTCTATGGTAATTTCATTCGCGCGTTTCTGCGTTCGGCGTTATTTGTTATTCAAACTTCGTCGGCTTCGAGGGGCCTTCGCGACGCCTCGAAACGATACTTATTCAAAATCCACGACACCCCTCCGTGGATTTGCTTGGAATCTGCGCGAGCGTAATCGAGGTTATCAATTTTCTCGAAATTGTATCGCCGTTGCGTTGCCAGGGAGGAACGAGGGCGTCGAAAGTCTGAATAAACGTATAAATTTTGGACGATTAAAGATAATTTAATGCGCCGTGCGTTGAAACAAAAGTGAAAAATCACTGGTTTCGAGAGATATACGGTCGGTCCATGATTCAACGTTATTTTGAACGATTTATGTGCATTTTCGCGATTTACCCGACTGCAACAAATTTATATCGGCCACGGCAAAAGTATATATCAGCGGATTTTTATAAAAAAAAACCGTCTCAATTACATTTTCCCCGATATATTTTTCGAGCACGTGTCAAGATGTAAGACATATTTTTTACAGCGTTCGAGAGGTGTGTTAGTTTAGCATTTATTTTTTGTAATGGTCGAAACGCGAGTGTATCGTTGTTTCGTATGGAAGAAACGAAGGCATAAAAATTCTGTGGGTGTACAATTATCCATATAACGCCCGAACTCGAAGTACGAGATAAGATTCGGTACGTGAGCACAGTAACCAACAGTTCTCGCCCCCTTCCTGGCCACTGACAATAACACAATTTAATAGATTTGAAAGCACTTTCCGCGATACCTATCGCGATGAAAATGAAATATAATGTTTGATAACTGTGCCAGAATTTCAATTTTCGTTTCGCTAAAATTGTACGTCGCATAGCAATTTCTCATACTGTTTAAATCATTTTTAATCTTTATTTTTCTTTTGTGTTTTGTACACCGTTCGTGCACGTAAAAAGTGAAATAAAGTTTAGCAAAGAACAACGAAACCTAGTACGATCGAGCACTTTATTCGCCCATTTATAAGTTTGAACAGGAACGAAATGTTTGCGTTTGTTTTGCGCTGTTTAATACGTCGACTATTCACTGACCCACACGTGGGGTCAGGGTGTTTTGTCCCGATAAATGTCGTCCAAACGATTAAACTGAAAGCTTAATTAAAGCTGGTAAACGCAGGTACGAGGGGCGGTCCAAGAACTTCCACGGAATGATGGGGGTAACAAGAACCGTTGTATTATTTTCCTCGTACAGAATATTCACCCTTGATTGAAATGCATTTACCGATTCTTTAAATTACTTCATTTATTCTCCACGAGTTCCAATTTCCATTCGTGGTCGATTGCACGCCGCAGGGTAATTTGTGGCCCTCGAAGGGCGTCGGGACGCTCGGGCGAAAAGTGGCACGCGCACTTTATGTGCTTTCGTTTCGCGGAAAGTGTTGCTTTCGCGGGTAGCTCGTTTCGAGCTGACGTTTACCGTTAAACAAACATGTAAAGATTCCTCCGGCGATACCTACAGGAACGATGATGGATCGCCGAGTGGCCCGCCTTCGTATTTACGCCTTCTAGCCCAAATATTTTCCCTCGAATAAAGGAATCGTTGGCGAATCTATTATCCGTCCCCGGCGGCAATATATTTATATTTTCGACCGATCCCCGGTTGGAATTCGAAACTCGCCGGTGGATCCTCCTCGAATTCCTTCCAACTTTCGACATCCCCTTCCAGCCTCTTCGGTTAAAAGCTACAAAAATCTGGCGTACAAAGAGCGTAACAGAACATCCCTAGACGCTGCGTTATTTTTTTTATCAATATTTCTTTCGGGTCCTTTATATAATAATCAATGAAAACCGATGAGTCCTTCGTAGGAATTACTTAACTTTTATAACACGCGTCTTTATCATCCGGAAACCCTTTTTATTCTGTTCTTTTTTATTCATAACATAATTTTATTTATACGACGTGAAGTGACACGAACGTAACCAAGATTTTCTGACGGTTTACGGGAAAATAAATGTTGCAAGCGGTAAACGCGTAGAATCGAATACAGCCGGGGGATATCAAAATCTTCTGGAACTTCGTCGAGGACATAACTTGGCTCGAAATACGATTACGATATCGCAACCACCGGGGTTCACACTGCTAATCCGTTCGCCAAATATACAAACATATAATGAACAGGCTTAGAATTATCGCGGCAGACGATAGCGGGATTATATTGGATCCAACCGTCCCCCGGTGCAAAATTTTCGAATCGATGGTAATCCAATTTCGAGCTGGTGAAATAAAGAAGTTTCAGCGATCCACAAAAAAAGTCAGGGAGTTTCTGCACCGGTGGCTCGTTCCTGTTTACCAAAATAAATACATTTTGGAAATTGACCGCGTCGGGAGGAGCGTGCAACGAGTGGGATCAAAATGAAGCGGCGCCTTTTTACGACGCCGAAAATAAGTCGCGCGAATTCTCTTGCCCGTGATCCCGCGGGGTGTTTGCCCACCGACCAAAAATATCCACCCGGTGGATTCGCCGAGAAGCTTCCTATTTTTCGATCGAAACATCGGTGACACAGAGTTTTTTATTTTTTATTTTGTAGATCCTCTCGTTTGCTCGGTTGATTTTCGGGCGTTGTCCGCCTTTGATGGACGGTCGAGGGAAACGGGGCGTTGATAATTAATAACGCAATTATCTCGGTTCGCGAACGTGACTAATGTTGGTAAATCGAAGCAACTCGTGTGCCATAGAACTCGCGCGTCTATTTTCGTCGACCCGCCGCGTTCCTTCGAATCGCAGAAAACGATCGACGCCGCGATCCAAACGATCCGACCGGGCAGTATCCACCAATTTATTTAGAAAATACCTATCGATGTGCAATAATTATCCGTACGTATAATAAAATTTCAGTCGAGAAGGAGAAATATCGTGGAAAACCATATTCCAAGCGATGAAAGATTGATAGAGCATCGCTGGGAAGAAAAAGCAGGAAATACGACGTCGTTAAAGACGATTGCTCGTATTTCTTAAGAAGCGTGTCGTAAAAAAGTCGATCGAATGCTAGGAACTACGAAAAGTTGTTGGCTCGTATGCGGGTGTGCGGGTCTATTTGAATCCTTCCGGTCGTTGTCGATAGGTGCTAACTTCTAACTTATTTAAATCGGGCCGAGGTCGACGGGCTCGTTTGCGACGAAATAAGCTTCGTAACGATTTGTTGTGCCACCTTTCTCTCGATCGGGACGCCATTCGAAACTACCGGTGGTCCACTTCGTTAATTACCTAGCTGGGGATCGCGTTCACGGTGTCTTTGAGGATGCTGCATGAAAGTGACCGAATCTAGGTGAAAAAATAAGTCGAAAATGTGGAGAACAATTTTTCGTACGGAGCTTCCTTCTTGGAATAAATCGATGTTGAATATTTTCGGGGCACGCGTATATTCGACTGTTACAGACATTTCCGACAATTTTTGAATCAATAACAAAATTCTTTCCCTATTAATTGGAACAGAAATGTCAATAATATAACGTAACACGCGTGCCCCACAAATATTCAAGTTCGATTTATTCCCAATTGAAGCCCCATACGAAAAAATGTCTCTCCTCGTTTTCGACTTATTTTTTCAAGTAGATTCATCCCTATCTAGCAGCAGTTCGTATCCGGTATAACGTACGATGGAAGTTTCTCTTCCGGAGACGTGTTCCCCGCGGCTTCGAACGAGTTCAAAATTGTCGCAGCTACGTTGCTTACCTTTGTTCTGAAATTCGGACGAATCCTCGGTGGCCGCGTTCGCCCGACGCGCTCGAAGTAGTATCAGCAAACTTGTCAGAAACACGTGTCCCGACGTGCGACGCATCTCGAACCGGCATACGAGAATCAGGCGTTCGAGCTGACGCGCGAAACACCGCCCCGTCCGATCGACGCCCCAGGAACATTCAAGATCCTGATCGATGCGTCGTCTGCCTCGTGCCCTCGCCGACAGCTGGATCAACGGCAATCTCTCTTGCAATATTTTAAATCGTACGCTCTTACGATAGATCGAGAACGAAAGAACGGCGAACACATCCTCGATGGCGCTCGATTACTCGCCCCAGGATCGATCCCCGTCACTTTGTCGAACGAAACAAATTATCCAAGATGTGGTTCTGGGTTTCTCGAAGAGCGGACCTCCCACGGTCAAAGTCGGTGGCCGAGAATCCTTTTCTATGGGCTTCCTCTCGACCTTTTTTCACCGATCGACGCTAGACGGTCACACGTGCTGGTTATTAGTCGCGTCACGTCGAGTCGCGAAATCTTTTGATTAACAAAACGAGCCGACGTTTTTTCACCCGCGTCTAAGCGACGCTCGGATCCCGTCTTTGTCCCTTTTCAGGCCCGTTCTTTCCTTCCACGTCCTTTGAATTCTTTTCGCTTTGTCAGAATTTTTGTCGCGCTAGTCTCGTTCGTTTTGCGCGTACCACCCCCGCCCGTTGCGCCCCTCCGCCCCGAACAATTTCAACTTTGATCTCGTCTTCAAAACGACTCGCGGGTTTTCTTATTCCCTTCGTTTTTCTCTCTGTTTTTCTTTTCCCCTCTGCGTGGCGTTCCCTTTGCGCGCGTTTGTTATTCCTGGATCGCGCCTTCCTTTTTTCTTTACCTCGCGTCGCGCGGTTTAAATTAGGATCCGGCGATCAGGTGGCTCTACAGCGCGTGCCCCGATGTTGTCCCTCCGCGTCGTTGCCGTGGAATTCCTTGGATTTCGATACAGTTCTCCGGAGCTCGCGAAACACCCCGACTTTCGTAGAATGCGAACGACACGCCCGGCAACCGTACACGCGCGATCTATCGGCGCGGAATTTCGACGATTGCACCCCGGTATTGCACACTTCCCGTCGTTAAGGTATCCGTGGATCGTCGCGCGGACCGCGTACGAGAATAAAAAAAATTGAATATTCGATCGTCGATCGCGGCGGTTTCGTGTCGACGGAACCGTCGAGCGCCGTTCGAGATCGTCGTCGTCGTCGTCGGCGACTGCCACGGAACTAAAACCAAAACCGAAGACACGCGTGTAGTTGCCCCCACCCGGGAGCACCCTCCTCGTGCGGCACACGCACGCTTAACCCGGTCCCGAGGACACGCACACGCAACCAAATGCACACGCGACTCGTCGAACGCATCGTCGATGCACCGTTATGCATCCGTGCTAACGACGCCAGCTACGCAAAATCCTTCGTTCGAAACAATTCGAAATCCTCTTAGACGTAATTTGCGACACATTCGAAATCAAGTTTGTTATTCCATGGTATCGTGAGCCATTAGCCAGAAAAGAAATCATAGAAATGCATTGGAATGAAATTTTTTACGAACCAGGTTACATGTCTGTATGTACACGTTGATAAAATTCAATGGAAATTGGTGAGATGTAACCTTTTGTGCTCGTATATATGTTTGGGATGGCTAGCCAATTAACTCGGAATTTTTGTTCATATTCGATCAAAGTGAAAAAATTTTTATGGGAACATTTTAACTTGGTTTCGGTAGAAAAAAATGGGAAAATATAGAAATTTAATCTGCATCCCACCCTTCTCTTGAACAGTGAAAATCTATATAAATGTGTACATAAATTTTGATTTTTCAGAATATTTAAAGAATGAATAACACTAACTTTTAAAGGAACACATAGGGCACACAGGTATACTAAAGGCTAAAATAATGCTGTACTAGCCAAGTTAAAATGTAGCATCGTAGGTAAGGGGATCCAAAATCCAGAATTAAAAAATATTTTCATAACAGAATAGTGCAGCATTTGTATTTTAAAATCCCCCGCAAACACGGGCGATCTTTTTGCGTAATCGGATATTTCAACCCGAAAAAACCGTTGGAGCGTATTCGTTACCATCGTAAACTCGAAAACAAAAATCATTATTTCGTTCGTGCAGCGCGTATCACGGTACGTAACTTGTTTGTATTTATGTGTCGACTGTCCCGTATTGTAAATATATTATTGTTGTTACACAGTTTATTGTTGTTAGACAGTTTACCAAAAATTGCTGGCCCCTTTCTTTTACGGGGAATTATAAAACTGAACAAACTTTCGGTTTTTTCCCCCCGATCGCGGATGTTTGGGATATCGAACGATATTGTTAAAATTTTTTCAGGTCTTCCGAATCGCCGGGGAATTTACGATCGCTCGAACTTTCGGTATTTCCGCCAGATAAAATTAAATATTTTACAAGTTGCTCGTTGCCATCGCTACGATCAAAAGTGGATAAAATTTCGCATTTTCAACTGATCCGTTTAGACTTAATAATCCACAAAAACCACCAAAATAATATATAACACCGTTCGGCGGGAAATAAAATATTCTCCATTATCGAGCACCGTAAAAATTCCGACCGTGTATTTTTCAATTTGCGTTGTTACATTTGGTCGGGGAAAGTACGAGCTCATTGATAAAGATTTATTCGAGTGTCGTGTATATTATTTGTGTAACACCCACGCACACGCGTGCAGAAAGGCTGGAAACGCATGCGTTCCGCTCCGCCGCGTGTTTCTGGACGCGTTGTCTCACTCGGGGTTGACTTGGAAGGGAACGAAACCGAGTTTGGTGCCGTGGAATAAACGCGGGGTGAGTTCCAGGCGTATCATCGTACAGACGATTACGCGAGCCCAGGGAGGGGTTGAAAATGCTACAGCGTGTTCGACGAGGGTGGAGTCGGCACCAGAGGGTCAGGAATGCGCCCTGAAAGGACAAATGCGTCGGTCCAATGGCCGCGTACAGTTTGACGGATCGTTCGAGCTACAGTCGGCATGATTCTCCCGTTTCTATCAATTTCTCTCCTAACATTGTTCCTTCGTTAACTGGAACCAATGTCAAAAGGGGTCGCAAAATAGAATCTGATTCGATTGGCGAGTACTATCTGCCAGGAACTTGAATGTGAATTTTAATAAAATGTTATTTGGTACTTTTGAACGCGAAAGCACAGCAATATTATCTTTTCGCAACCGTCGCTTTATTTCGTCCAACAGGTGTTCAATGGGATTCATATCCGGTGATTGTGGCGGCGTATGAAGCTGTTTTGGCACGTTGTATAGCAGCTATTACTTAACAATTCCTACGCTATGCTTTTGATCATTATCTTGTTGGAAGATGAATGTTTCCTCGGGATCCAATTTTATCGCGCTGTTGTGCAAATTATATGTTTAAATGATCGCTTTGGTCCGCGGCAGAATCGATAAATTTCGAGTGCCCCACATTTAGCGTACTCCACCCCCGATTCCGCGCAAACTCTTGCGAAGCTTTTGAGAATTATAACTTGCCAAAGCAACACGGAAGAGTTGAATTCTCGCTTTTTAATCGCGAAACTCGTTCTTTCGGGCAAGATGTTTGACCACGTTTGGAGACTTCTGTGCCCCATTTTTGTGTTTCTTTTCAGAAATAACGCGTTAGGGTGTGGAGCGCGAGAGCAACTCGTTGTTATTAAAACCGTTAGGGCGGCATCGTGCGCACGGTGTTTCTAATGTCGTCGCACGGTTCGCGGAGAATCTATTTTCGGAAATCCCCGCGTTTCCCTGGTTGGATACCGACACCCTCTTTTTGACCGACCGGCCAACCGCGCGCACCCACGTGAATGCACGAATCTGGAATCGAGAGCCGCGGATCGCTCGCATCCGCAAAAACACTGGGCAGGGTTTAAATTCCACGCGCGTTTTGCAGCCACAGACAGAGAGGGGGCACCGCTTTTGAAGATTTCTAAACAAAAATAACGGGCGGAAATTCAGTGAACAGCCAAGGTTTTCAAACAGCGGGGAACCATTCTGTATACATCGTTCCAAATCGATCTCTTCTGCGCCCCGAGGTCAGGAATTTCGATCACGCCGAAATATACTGCACGAAATCGGTGGAGGTCGGTTAACTTTGAGAAGTAAATTTTATACCAATTTTCAGCGAAGATTCGCCCCCCACAAAGGAATGTTTAATTCCGGGAATATGGAAGATACCTTTTCTATTTTAATCGGGACTGAATCCATCTAAATATATTTTACCCCCCCGTCGAACTTCATAAAGTGTATCTCCACGTCGTAAAAGTGTTTCGTGGCAGGAAGTCGAGCGATTTGGAGCAGAATGCTTGAAACGCTATCAATGACCGGCGCCGGGAGTCTATCGCGAATCGAGAATCTACGGATCAATGGTTTGAACGTTGTTTCTGGCTTAGCGGCGTTTATTTCGTTTGCGAGAATCTCGTTGAACTTCATCCACTTGATTAGGCACAATTGAACGCGGTCAGTGTATGCTCGAGTGCCTCCGCCGGCTACTCGAAACTTTCGCTATCCGCCTGTATTTATTCTTCGACGGAGCCCCGGCGCTTTTGCCCCTTTGAGCTGGAACGGCTACCCCGACGCTTTGTTGCCTTTTCCTTTTCCGGCCGCCGTTTCGAGTGCGGTTAATTCAATGTCGCGGATCGTGCCCCGCGAAAGTTACTCGACTCGAGGCTCGGTTTTACGCCCCCCGCTAATAGATGCAACGCGATTCGATTCGATTAGCAACGGCTTGGCGAACGCCACCCTCCCGAACCACCACGAAAATAATCCTGGTCGCGTGCCTCTCGTATCCCCCACCCCGTTCACCCCATCCAAATCTCAGATTTCATTTTTTTCAATTTAATAGAGTCAATTGCCTATATTCTTTCTTTTACGAACACGCTAGTTGCAACAAACGACGATCACCAACAGATGGCAAAATCACCCAATCAACTGACCCTATTAGTTCTTGGATTGTGTATTTTGAGTAATTAAATGCGTTATCTTGACAACGAAAGATTTAGCCCCGAGCCTTGCACGTTTCGGATCGGTCGAAATTTTCGTAGCAATCGTTGC